GAACAAATATGTAGATAATACAAAACAACGTGCAATGCGAAAAGAATGGACAGATGATGGGCGTGGAATAAGGGGTATAAAAACACACACACACTGGAAGAACCTGTTGTAAGATGGATTATAGCGAATTCTAGTTGAGATAACCACGGCATTTGGCAGATCCACATAGACAAGGGATCTTGTCCTGCTCAAACGGAAAGTGATAATCTGTGAACAATGCCGTCAGTTCCCACAAACCAACACAATCCAGAACCAGAGACACGAACCGTAAGTAATTTCATCACCAAGTTCGATATCCTGTTTTGCATAAATAACAATTTTCTTTTCACCATTGATCGTGATGATTTTTGCCGTGCAGTTGGGGTCACAGGAATGATTGATCAACCGCCTTGAGCCCCGCATCATCAGCGATTACACATCAAGCGCAGGAAACAAAGGACCACATACCCCAGATTTCCCTTCTTGGTAGCATCAACCACAATCTCCTCGTCAATCCTGAAAAGGTAACTGCTCCCAATCCCCTGCCGCTCATACGCCTTCTCCCTCTTCTCCGCGACCTGTGCCCGGATCACCTCACCCACATACTCAATAACCATCTCCCCCCTCGATATCTTCTCCATCGCATACAACCCCCAATCATGGATCGGCGACCTCGCAAAGCGCAAGTGCTTCTTCCGCGTCTGGAGCTGGTTGAACTTGAACGTCAGCTCGCTCGCCGCAGCCTCGCCCTTGGACAGCGCGACGGCCCTCTGCACCTGATTGATCTCCTCGAGCCCTTGTGCGCGCCTACGCGCATTGGCGCGGTTGGACCGCGAGGACGTGATGTGCTGCTGGGGCTCGTCGGGCGGCGGGACAGTCTCGACGGCGGCAGCGGCCGAACGCGCCTGGTACTGCGCGACATACGCGGCCTTTTCGGCGTGTGTGATCTTGTAATACCCTTCCGTGCGTGCGGAGCCGGTGATGTGTTTGCGGAACGCGGGCGTTTCAGGTGGTGAGAGCGGCGCAGCATTGGTCTGAGTCTCGGGTCGGTGTCGGGGTTTGGGTGGTGAGGGCTCTTCTCCTTCCTCTTCGGGGAATTGGTACCCGCTCAATGCAAGCTTGAGGAAGTAGATGTCCTCGTCGTCTTCGCACAATCCTATATTGTATGGATCAGGCGGGGGTGTGGGTGGAGGCGTGACCACGCGCGGGCGCTGAGTTGGTGATTGCGAGCGTGACGAACTCGGCGTGAGGCGGACTTGGGCAACAGAAGGGACGTCATAGTCCTCCCTGAACAGGACATCCTGGACCGTTTCGACAGTCTTTTTAAGCGTCTTCTTTGTCGTCGTCTTTTTCCTTGTCGCACCCTTCTTTGTCTTTGTCGTCGTCGTCTCCACAATCTCAACCTGTACCACCTTTTGCTTCTTGCGCACAGGCACCTCATTCTCCTCCTCCTCCACGCCCCTCTTCCTCCCCACCTTCTCCTCACCCTCCTCTTCCGACTCGGCCTCGTCATCCACAACCTTCCCAACCTCTTTCCTCTTCTTCCTCGGTCTCTCTTCCTCCCCCTCCAATTCCTTCACCTCCACCGGCACCTCCTCAACCACAACCTTTGGCTTCGCCTTCCTAAACGACAACCCCTTCAACCCCCTCTTCTCACCCCCTTGTCCCTCCACACCAACCACCCCACCCCCACCCCAACCCCCACTCAACTTCAACTTCTCCCTCCCAATCGCATCAAGCATCTCCCTCCCAATCGCTCCTCGCATCATATCATCGCTCATCAACCGCTCCTTGACATCTCGAATCAGCACCGCCTTGAGCTCCTCTTCTATACCCCCCCGCGAGGCATCGACGAGCGCATCAGTGTCCCATTTCCCGTCTTTAGGGCCCGAGACGGGCACCGCGGGTGCGGGGTGCACGGTTAGCGTGACGGTTTGGTACCCGAGTTTTTTGGCGGTCGAGTTGGAGAGCACGCGCGAGGCGCGGAGGGCCATGTCGGGCGTTGTGAATGTGACGTACCATCCGAGGTGGTCTTTTAGGATCTGTAATATACGTACCGCGTAATGAGCATTTCATTCCATGAAAGGAAAAGAAAAAACGAATGAAAGAACAAAAAAAAGACAGCAAGAAGGAACGCACCAAATCAACCTTGAACCCCTCAAAAAACACCCTGACATCCTCCTCCCTCACACCCCCCACAAGCGGGAACCTCACATGCTCCTTCCCATTCCTCGCAAGCTTCTCAACAACACACATATGCCTCTCCTCCCGCTCCTCCCTCTTCTCCCTCTTATTCTTCCCCCGCCCCCTCTCCCGACTCCAACTCCGCGACCTCGAGCGTGAGCGCGAGCGCGAGCGCGACGGCGTATACCGCCGCCCCTTCCACGGGCGCCGGGGCGAAGACGAGCGGGAGCGGCTGTGCGGACGCCACGTATCGCGCACGCCGCGGTAAAACGGGGGCGGGGACGGTGTGTACGAGTGTGCGGGGACGTACGAGTCGACGCGGTGTGGATGCGAGTGCGAGTGCGTGTGCGGTGGTGGATGGGCGTCTCGTTCTCGTTCTCGTTCTCGGCCTCTGTCGCGTTCGCGCTCCCACTCCCACTCTCTGTCCATCCGGCCCCTGTTGTACCCCCCACGCCGCTCCCACTCCCTCTCGTCCCTCTCCCGCATAGGCTGCGCAATCCTCCCTCTTTCTTCCCCCCTCCCGTCCCCCTCTCGTTCCCTATGATCACCCTTGTACCCTGCCGTCGGCGGCACGGAGACCTGTACCCCATGCTGCTGGAGGGCCTGCGCGATATTCGGATGCACACTCGGCGCATGCGCGTGTGGCGTCCCGTTGGTAGTAGTCGCGGTCGCGGCCACGGGAGGCCTTGGCGAGACGGAGACGGGTTTCGGCGGCAGGGTGGGGTGCAGTTGACTTGATCCTTGTCCGGCTGGAGGTTGTTGGTTCGGCGGCACTTGGACTGAGTTTTGGACTTGCGTCTGATGTACTTGGTTCAGCGCTTGTCCGTGTCCATGCTGAGGCGTCGGAACATGCGTAGTAGCTCTCTTCTGCCCAGGCGGCAGCGGCGTTCCCTCTGCACGCGGCGTATGTGTCTGTGTCTGCTGTGTCTTTCCACTCGCACTCGAGCTTCCGTTGGCAGTCAGCGGCGGCAACCCTCTCTCCCTCCTCCTCCTCTCCTCCTTCTCCCTCTCCATCCGACCCTCAAGCTCCCTCACAACCGCCTTGAGTACCTTTCCCTCTGGATCCAACACCGCCCTTACCCTCTCTTCTTCCTCTGCCTGTGCACCCGCCCCTGCTCCTCCTCCTGCACTATTTCCCACCCCCGCTCCTCCCCCCACCCCACTCCCTGCTCCTCCTCCCACGCCGGCCCCCGAACTCGGCACCTGAAACCCAACTCCAAACGCGGCCTTCCTCCCCTCCTCACGCGCGACACACCGCGCCGCGTCTTCCCAGCTCGCATAGCGCAGATGCAACACGCCGAGCGGTGCGCCGTTCGCGCGGTTCGTGTGCCATTCAAAGGACGAGAGGGCGCCGTAGGATCTGTAGTGGGTTTTGAGGACGGTGGATGGGGTGAGGGGAGGGAGGGACACGAGGGTTACGCCTACGGGTGGAGGGGTTGGGGTGTGTGTGTCGTGCTGTAGAAAGAATAAATACATCTCAGCCGTCGTACTCTCTCTCGCAAAGAAGAAACGCACCTCGTACCCAATCTCGATTAGGGACTCTCTAAACGGGCGTGCAAGGGCCAGCTTGAGCTTTTTGGCGGCTGGATCGGGGCGCGGGTCGTAGGGGACCGGGGGTAGCTCGAGCAAAGGCAAAGAAGGACCATCATCAGCAGACGGAGGGACGACCTCCCCCTGGAAGCGAGTCAACACGGACAGATCCCTCTTGTCCTTGTCCTTTTTGTTCTTGATGCGCTCGGGGCAGTGTCGTTTACAGTGGTCCACGAGAGCGCGGTAGTATTTGATGTCCTTCTTTGGGGGAACCTTGAGCTCGGCGCTGGGACCCGATGCGGCCAAGAGGGCCAACGCGGGATAATTCTGGGCGGCAAGGGCACTCGGGGCGGTGGGGACAATGGGGGAGTCTTGTTTAAAGTGCTCCTTGGCGGGGGGGACAAGGTCGAGGGAGGGGTCAAAGATGACTTTGTAGGTGCGGTGGTCCGGGGGGTAGGCAGAGGGGGGGGCGGGCCAGGACGGTGGAGGTGGAGGAGGGGGGGTCGGCGGGGCGTCGAGGGGCGGCGGGGGAGGCGGGGGAGGATCATAGTCTGGGGGCGGGGGTGGCGGGGATTCGGTGTGTAGAAATGGCTGGAGATGGGGTTTGGGGAGGAGCTTTGTGGGCGGGAGTGGGATGGGAATGGAAATGGCAGGGCGGGGAGACTCCATTTTGGCAGCGGCCTCATCGTGGCCATTCTATGATATAATAAAGGCTTCGCGTCAGTATACCATACATCACAACGCGGATCCTTACTGGCAGTGGAGTCGACATCGCCGCCAGTTTCCTCGTCAACATCGCCGCCAGATTCCTCGTCAACCCTCCGTCCGACCCCGTCCCTTCTGCCCGTCGTCCATTCACATGAGTCCCTGCCAGACTCCGCGGGCCCGTCGGTATAGGCCTCCCCGTCCGAGCTCCATGCTGCGTCGAGCTCCCATAGCTATCACCCTCACGCTCTCGACTCCCACTCCCACTCGCCTGCTGTTGCTGTTGTTGCTGCACCCCGGTCCCGTACAGTGCCCGAGGGCCCTTGGGCGGCGCCTTGCCCGACATGAGCCACAGGCCGTCCGCTGTTGTGTCTTGTTGCGAAAGGAGGAACAAGGAACAGAAAAGGAAAGCGAAAAAAGGTGTGACGAGTTGAGGGAGCCACTCCCCCTTTGTTCCGGACAAACACCGTCAATTTCCTCGCTTGTTTTCTCTTCCCCTCTCAATAGTCCCCCAACCCAACCACCCATACCTTTCAATGTACCACGACTTCTGATCCGTTGCCGCCTTTGAATATCACACCTTGTGACGGCCGTTTTAGCACAGCAGCATGGCGCAGTTGGAAGCGCGCGGGGCCCATATATCTGTTGTCACCCCGAGGTCACTTGATCGAAACAAGTTGCTGCTATGTGCACCTTGGTCTGGTATTTTTCTTGTCAGACGCTCAAGCAGCATTCCACCGAGGGTCACTTGTTCAAATCTACACTCAATCCGTGACCGCGTAACCCCAATGGCATTGCCATCCCTTTAACGTCAACTCACTCAGAGTTTGAATGCTTGCAATCGCTTATCCCCGAACACACACTCTCATTTTCTCACTCAGAACTATCCAGCAGCATAGCGCACGGGGCTCACATATACGAGCAATTCACTCGTCCCCGAGGCCACTTGTTCGACTCAAGTCGTCCCCATGAATGGGCCTGGCATCTTTTTCTCGAGCGACCTGAAAACAAAAGCCGACACTGACAAAATCTCGTCTAACGTCAACACAAGTCAACTTTGGCACCATCCTCGCTCGTCAACGCGCGACGATATACACAGCAGCGTAGCGCAGACTAGAAGCGCACGGGGCCCAAGTTCGCTCCCCCAAAGCCACTTGTTCGAATCAAGTCGCTGCTATGCCGAGCTGGTCGTTTTTTGTGATTTAGTTACAGGTGGGTTCAACTAGCACTACTGGACCACTGCACGGCCGCCGCGGCGATCTCATCTCTAGATTGATGTACTCACTTTGTGGTAAGAGCGATCGTAGCATGCAGACCGGGTATACGCCTGCAGGGTCGGGCTATATATACTCTGCATGGGTCGGGCGCCAGTAAGTTGCTGTTATGTTATCTAACATGTTTTGGGTCCTCTCCGAGCCGCAGTCCTTTTTTATGACTTACCACTCCCCTAGGGCTATCGCCGACGCAAGCAACCCTCCCTGGTCCCTGTCGACTTGAAGTCCGTCTCAAAGACAAGTACAGCTCGAACAGATTCGTTGGTACTATGCGTTGGTTATCAACGTAGTACAGGAGGATGACGCATCTTTAGAGCGTGTAGAAATCAATTACTCCTGATTCTCAGGACTACGTTCACAGGACGCTTCAATCTCTTTCTTCTATCAAGCAGCATGGCGCAGTTGGAAGCGCGCGGGGCCCATATATGTTTTCAAGAGCTGTTAAACCCCGAGGTCACTTGATCGAAACAAGTCGCTGCTACTAATTGAAGGATCGAATCAATTGCTTTTTTTAAAAAAAACTTGATCTTACCAATTCCAACCGTGTATATGTGTACGTCGGATACGTGGGTCCAGTACTATTGCTTATCCACCAGCACAGCGAGGTCTGATAGCGCATAT